TATGTTTTAATCCATTTCTTGGTGAATCTTATATGGACTTCTCATGGTAACTTGTTTCGCATTGCATACCTTGTATAGACTCGAAATATCTTGTCTATGCCATCCATCATCTTTTCTTTGGTAATTTCTAATGCTTCTGCTAAAATTTCTATCATTATTTTCTGACAGATTTTCTCCCTTTTCTTCTTCTATATTTTGAAATTTGATATAAAATTCTGATCTGTCCATCTCCCATCCCACTAATCCACTCTTATCTCGTTCGACCTCATCCAGTCTAGTATCAATATTTCTGATTTTTTTATCTCTTTGCTCTTTCTTTTCCTCAATTTTTTGTAGTCTATCTTCATATTTCATCATCATTTGCTGTATACTCTCCACTTTCTCATCTGTTTTCTCTGTTCTTTGTTCAATATTTTCTACTCTTGTTTGTATATTTTGGATTCCTTGCCAAATCATCTGTAGTGTCGCCTCCTTTTCTTTTTCTCAATCCTTCTCCTTTTCCTGTTGTAGCATCGTCTGTATTGATCGCCGTCCTCCAGATGGTGATGAAGAAGGTGTCAATGTGGAAGAGCCAATAGCCGTTGCTTTTCTACTCATTCTGTGAAGTAGTTGCTAAAGGTTTAAACAGATAAAAAATTCTTCAGGTTCTTCTATACCTTATTCTGTTTATGGATGGAGCAAGTATTACCTCCAATATCAATAAGGTAAGAAAAAAGCAAAAAAGAGAGGGAGAAAAAACAACAACAACAAAAAGCAAATAAACAATATTCAGGCTCTTTTATGCCTTAATCCAATTCAGTTCAATAAAAAATATTAACCACCTTGGCAATCTCCACTCCAAAAAAAAAAAGAAAAAAAGCAAAAAAAAAAAAAAAAGCCAAAGAGAAAAGAGAAAAAAGAGAAGCACTAGAAAGTTCTATATATGTATAAAAAAACTAAGAATTAAAAAAGAAAAATTAAAGATCCTCCATCAACTCACAGTCCAATTAAAAATACTTTAATTGGACTGTTTAAAAATACTTTAAACAGGGGAAAGGTGAAGAAATTACCACATACAAAAAAAAGAGAAAAAAATGTCCAAATAAAAATCACTTCTGTATAAGATCAAGGAATTATTTTATTAGGTCCCAAATAGTATTTACAGTTCTCTTTCAGAGTCACTGCAAGTTTCTTCTTATTCAGTCTCAGGCTCCTCCCTCTGATAGTTCCCAGAAGAACACCTGAATAAACAATCCTGCAACAGTTTCAATGTCCTTTTGATGTTCTCCCCACTATCTTATCTATGAATAGGCTCAGAGTCCTTGAACTGTAACACAATTGTTACTTCTTAAACCAAAGAAAAAGAATCAAAATTTCCAATCCACTAGATGGCAGTGTTACTTATTCTCTTCCCTTTCCCCTGCTATATTCAATGCGCAATAAAATAAAAATAGCCAAAGAGGAGAGAGAAAAAAATAGAATCAAAGAGAATGTATAGTAAAAAGGTACTAAAAGTTTAAAAATTAAATAAGCAATTCAGAAATCCGCAGTCCAATCCAATCCAGTCCAGGTTAAAAGGCAAAAAGCGTATAGACATCCACAAATGCAAGTAAGTTGAAAGTAAAAAAAACTACCTTAGACTCAAGTTTAATTCCGCCGCTTGATTTTCTTCTGTCTTCAATTTGATCTTTCTTTCAATCTCAGGGTGCTCTCTCATATAAATTATAATTGAAAGTCTCTCACCAAGTTGACACACTTCCTTCCAATCTTCTTCCGTTCCGGAGCTGTCCCAACTTCAGCAGCTACAATGGCTGCCACCCCACCGCTGGAAAAAGGACTTCTCTTTGATCAACCAGGGACTTTGCGATGTCCCTGGGATTGACAGAATGTGCCCTCCACTATCACCGTCTCAACGGGACGGTGAGGTCCAAAAAGAACCGTCCAGCGGCGGGGATATCAACGGTGATCCTGGAGCCGTTGCGACATCAGTTCCGCTCCCTCTCCAAGGCAACAGAAGGATATTTTCAAGATCACCTGAAGTATTAGCACAAGTTTATAAGGCCTTGGTAAGACCATTGTCAGCGTTCCAGAAAAATCCAACTCCAGGATTATGCAGGACTGTCCTAACCTTGACCAAAAAAAAGAATGCTATTTTGTCTAACTACATTCCCTCTACTAAATCCCCTCCTCCTATTTTCCCACACACAAGAAGGTGGCAGCGTGGAAGCTTCCGGTGCTAATATGGCTTCCAGAGCTGACAACCATACTTGGAATATTGTGTCCAATTCTGGTCACTGCGATACAAAAGAAAGATGTTGAGACTCTGGGAAGAGTGCAGAGAAAATCAACAAAGAAGATTAGAGGGTTGGAAGCTAAATCATATGAGCGACGGTTAAAGGAACTAGGCATGTCAGTCTAACAAAGAGAAGGCATAGGTGGAGAACCGGTAGCGGAAATTTTGAGTAGTTCGGAGAACTGGTAGTAAAAATTCTGACTGGCCCCACCCCCATCTATTCTCTGCCTCCCAAGTCCCAGCTGATAGGGAGGAAATGGGGATTTTGCAGTAACCTTCCCCTGCCACACCCACCAAGCCACGCCCACAGAACAGGTAGTAAAAAAAATTGAAACCCATCACTGGGTGACATCATAGCTATTTGAAGATAGGCCGTCACAGAAAAGATAGGGTCAACCTATTCTCCAAAGCACCTGAGAGCGGGACAAGAAGTCACAGGTGGAAGAATATGAAAGAGAGAAGCAACCTAGAACTATGGAGAAATTTCCTGACAATGAGAATAATCAACCAGTGGAACAGCTTTTCTTCAAAGTTGCTCTGTCACTGGAGGTTTTTCAAGACGAGATTGGACAGCCATTTTGTCCAGGATAGCAATAGCACTTAGACTTATATACCGCTTCATAGTGCTTTTACAGACCTCTCTAAGCGGTTTACAGAGTCAGCCTCTTGCCCCCAACAATCTGGGTCCTCATTTTACCCACCTTGGAAGGATGGAAGGCTGAGCTAACCTTTTTTTAAAAAAAATTATTATAAACTGAAGACAAAAAAACAAAACAAAAAGAAGACGATAACAAAACAAAATCAGATACATACAACTAGGGTTGATTCAGCCCCCATATACATACAGTTCCTAAGTAACATTACATACCATCATACTACATCTTCGATTAAATTTTCCACATTGCATCTTACACTTGTTAATCTTCTTACATCTAGTATTACCTTATACATATTTAGCTTAGTATCAACAAATCTATGCTATATGCTTTCCTAACATCTACCTCATGGCATTTTTACTTCTATCCATTTGTACCATTTATCCCAGCTTTGATTGAAAGTTGATTCTTGTCTACCTTTAAGAGTATATGTTAATCTATCACATTCTGTACACCACAAAATTTTTTGAGCTAACCTTGAGCCGGTCAGGATCGAACTGCTGACAGTGAGCAGAATTATCCTGCAATACTACATTCCAACCACAAGGAAGGAAGGAAGGGAGGGAGGGAGGGAGGGAGGGAGGGAGGGAAGGAAGGAAGGAAGGAAGGAAGGAAGGAAGGAAGGAAGGAAGGAAGGGCAATAGCACTTAGACTTATATATCACTTCATAATGCTTTGACAGCCTTCTCTAAGCAGTTTACAGAGTCAGCCTATGGCCCCCAACAACCTGGGTCCTCATTTTACCTATCTCAGAAGGATGGAAGACTGAGCCAACCTTGAGCCTGGTGAGATTTGAACTGCCAAATTGCAGGCAGCCGGCAGTCAGCAGAAGTAGCCTGCAGTACTGCACTCTAACCACTGCGCCACCACAGCTCTTTTATATATCTGATATGGTATAAGATCTCCTGCTCGAGCGGAAGATTGGACTAGAAGACCTCCAAGGTCCCTTCCAACTCTTTTTTTTTCTGTATTCAAATTGAGTTTGAGGAAAGGCAATCTCTAAAGAATTTTTCAGTTCTATTCCCAACTTCATGTGCATGCCTCACCTCAGTAAAACATCCAATTTTTTTTTAAAAAAAATGTACATTTCCATGCCAATGTTTGTATAGGTGTGAATGGAAACAGAGATTGATCCTGTCCGTCTTGTTAAGAAGAGGATTCTAGCTGACCAGACATTTTATGCTTGCATGGAGTTCATGGAAGTATTTTTACTTTACTTATTGATATATCAAATGTATACAGCCACTCATCTCATTAAACAAGTGGCAGACAGCAAAGCTAAAAAAAAAAGTTAATAAATTCCAAAAATAATAATAAGTATTATTATTATTATTATTTAAAAACATTAAAAACTATTTTTAAAAAACCAAGGCTATGAAGTGAAAATAGCATAAGAAACTCTGCAATGAAAGTGTCACCAAAGATACTTTGCAATTGACAAAGTCTAGCATTTAGTGAAGAGCAGAAAGCGAATATATATCATGGCATTGGGTCAGGGGTGAAATCCAATTTTTTTTTACTACCGGTTCTGTGGGTGTGGCTTGGTGGACGTGGCAGGGGAAGGATACTGCAAAATCCCCATTCCCACCCCACTCCTGCGGGAAGGATACTGCAAAATCCCCATTCCCTCCTCACTCCTGCGGGAAGGATACTGCAAAATCCCCATTCCCTCCCTACTCCTGGGGGAAGGATATTACAAAATCTCCATTCCCAGCCCACTCTGGGGCCAGCCAGAGGTGGTATTTGCTGGTTCTCCAAACTACTCAAAATTTCTGCTGCCGGTTCCTCAAACTGCTCAAAATTTCCACTACCGGTTCTCCAGAACCTGTCAGCACCTGCTGGATTTCACCCCTGCATTGGATGGAGTTTAGAGAACCAGGCCTAAAATCCATCTAATGTTCCTTGGTCTTGATAAAAAGAGCCGTTTTAACTGCAATAGAAAATTTTCACCCAATCTTGATTAATTAAGCTTATAAATCTAAGCACCCAGGAGGCATCTGTTCATCGTCCTTCCAACTCTGATCCAATACTCTGAAGCACAGATTACACAGGCACCAATTTTATCAGCTCACCGTATTTATCCGTCCTTCCTCGGCTTCACCATCTTGACCCTCTGGCATGGGAGAACTTCGGTCCGCATCTGGAAGAGACATTCCTGGTCAGTAGCTCTGGGAAGGTGCCTCGTAACTTTGAACACTTGCTAAGAACTGTTCAGAATTACTACTGTTCTCCTACCTCCGTGAGGGCGAACCAATGCCACGTGTGCCACAGGTGGCATGCAGAGCCCTCTCTGCGGGCACGTGAGCTGTCACCCCAGCTCAACTCTGCTGCGCATGCATGCACGCCTCCTGCCAGCCAGCCGGTGTTCGAGTCTCTGTCACGCATGTGCGGGGCGCATGTGGGAGATGCACACGCATATGTGAGGTGCAAACAGGGGGGCCATACACACATGGGCGGGGTGCATGGGCGGGGTGCATGGGCGGGGCGAATGGGTGGGGCACATGGGCACATGCGCGGGGCCGGGGCACATGTGAGGGGGTTTGCACATGCATGCGCATTGGGCAGGGGGGGGTCGCGCACGCATTGCATTATGGGTGTGTGTGCATGCACGCACTTTGGGCACTGCTAACGGCTTCAATCCCTGCCAAACTGCAACACTCGCTGCAACAAGAAATCCGGATTCTAAATCAAGTCATTTAGGATCAGGGTGGATAAAAATCAATGACTTTTTTTTTTAAAAAAATTAAGAGCCTTGATGGTGCAACAGACTAAAGTGCTGTTAAAGTAGTATTTAGCTGCCAGCTGCCTGCAATTACTGCGAGTTCAAATCTCACCAGGCTCAAGGTTGACTCAGCCTTCCATCCTTCCGAGGTAGGTAAAATGAGGACCCGGATTGTGGGGGCAATAAGCTGACTTTGTATAAAAAAGAACATCGCTTAGGGGGGGCCAAAAGCCCTACTAAGCAGGTATATACAAAAGTATGAAGGCTATTGCTTAACGCATTGTAAGCCGCCCTGAGTCTCCGGAGAAGGGCGGCATATAAATCGAACCAATAAATAAATAAATATTTTTTTTAAAAAAAACTGGATTTTTTAAAAATTTAAATCGGACCTTTTTTTTTATTTTTATCAAATTTATTTTAATAAAATGCTTTTGGAGCAAAAAATCTATCTAAAGTTAGTTTTCTATTTAAGATGCGTTCATAATTTAATTTATTCAGCATGAAATGGAGCTTAGTTATGTAGCATGAGGAGGCTATATATGCTGCAATATTGGGACTGTCTGGCGAGTCACCAGCGGGTCAGAGGAGGAGCTGCTGCGGGACGGAGATGACAGCTGATCTTTAAAAATGATGATTTAAATCGAGTTGATTTAAATCAAGCCTTTTTACTAGGGGATTTAAATCGGGATTTAAATCGACTTGCTTTAAATCAAATCCACCCTGTTTAGGATTGCAAGCTGCAAATATTTCTCCTGGCCAGCTGTACACATCTGCCACTAGATGACACTAGTGGTGCAACATACAACTGTGCATTTACGTTAAGGGCGGGGAAGGGGAAGGTTTTGAGACAGCATTAAGGAATATTGTTTTCATCCCATAATATGCAATCAGAATGGCTTGGGCATGGAGATGTGGTTGCTCTGATCTCCTCCGAGACACAAAGCAGTTCTCTTTTTGGTTTCTCTTGAAAAAAAGTATTAAGCTTCAGCAATGGCAGCAAGATATGGATTTTGTGCGTGCATGTCTTTTTAATCTGTTCCCTTGTATTATTGCTGTTACTTTTTTTTAATGGGTTTCTTGCTTCAACAGCAAATGATTTCGTCACAAGGCAAAAAGGGAAACGGTAAAAGACTTACAATAAAATAAATGCAGTCCAAAATGGGAAGGATCTAAGGCAGGGGTGGGCCACGAAGGCCCCCTTTGTAACCTGTGGACTTCAACTCCCAGAATTCCTGAGCGACTCATGTTTAGGAATTCTGGGAGTTGAATGCTGGCTCAGCAATTCTGGGATTTGAAGTCCAGAGGTCATAAAAGTTGTTCATAGCTGCTCATCTCTGATCTAAAGAAATCCCACAGGAAATCACTCTGGGAAATCTACTGGTTATTTGTGATAGATTAAAAATAACAGAATTATCTGAATATCTCAGAAAGATACCAGACTCGAGACAACCTGTGATAAATAAATTAATCACAGAGAGGGCAGGATTGATACTGTGATTAAAAGCAGGAGTTATATTTGCCAAGACTGTCTCTAAAAACGGGCAATACTTTCATCCAGTAACAAAGAGGATTTGTGAAGTTTGCAAGGGCAAGTGCCGTATTTCCCCGAAAATAAGACCCTGTCTTATATTTTTCTGAGCCCTTAAATAAGCATTTGGCCTTATTGCCATGCGCTCAAAAGCCCAATTGGGCTTATTATCAGGGGGTGTCTCATTTTGGAGGGAAACAGGGTAGTTGTCACAGTTACGACAGTGACGAAAAAAGTTACTTTGCAACCAAATCTTCACATTTGGGAGCTTTGTGGGTCTGTAAACCAAAGGAAAGCTGAAGTCTGATCAAAAGCACAGGTGTGGTTTCACATAGCAACCGCTTCGCTTAATAACCAAATGGCCATTCCCAATTGAGGTCACTCAGCAGGAACTACATTGAAACTGATTCTTACATAGATGCTTTTACAGACTTGGGAAGGTAGTAAATGCAAGGATTGGTCGCTAAAGTTACTTTTTCATCACCGTTGTCGCTCCGAGCAATCACTAAACAAGGCAGTCGGTAAGCGAGGACTCCTAGATTCTCTTTCTCCTTGCAAAAAAGACCAGAATCTAAGAGAAACAGATACGCAGCTACTATAGTGCAAAACACATCTGCCAAAATTTCCTAAAAAATGATTTATTGCTCAAATACTATCCAGAGGCCCTCTGCCATTTTTACTGTCAGGATGGCAATTAATTCCATTCTGCTTTTGGGTAATTGCATCTTGATTAGAGAATGGATCGTGACCTTTCCTTGAAGTATACCTTAAGAAAATAAACCCAAAGATATATTTTCTAAGAAAAACTCATTTATTTGTTATAAAGAAAATAAAACATCTTACTAGCTAATTAATTCCATCTTGGCAAAGCTTTCCCGGCCACCTCTCCTGGCCGGAGAACAAAGGAAGTTTTTTAGAGAAGAAGAAAAGAATGTGGACATGCGCAGTTAGCTTAGAGATAAGAACTTGGCAAGCTACGGTAAGTCTGAAAGTTCAAAAATAAGAGCTCATCTGGTAAATACAAAAACGCAGTGACATTTACATTCAATTGTGAAGGATATAAATGAACAGGTGTGTCGCATATCATGGTTCTTCAACTCACTTTGTTCCAGTTGGATTTTTAGCCAGATGTTAACACGCTGAGTCCAGTCTCCGGGTGCTTCCACTTCCCACAGCCGAGGCTGCTGTTTTGGGTAAGTCTCCAAGAACTTTTGACAAACTAAATAGGGAAGACAAAAGAACACGAGAAGTCATGATTTACAGTCATACCTCGGTATTCGACTGCTTCAAAACTGGTCAAATTCGGTATTTGACACATTTTGAAGCAGAAATCTCGTCTTGGCACCTGTCTTTCTCCTAGTAGTTGACATGCAAGGAAGAACATAGCTTGTGTCAAGGTTCCAAGTAATACATCTCCTTCAATGAGAACTCCGAGGCAGGCAAAGTCCTCACAGAACATTTTATTGGGACATATCAAATTGGCACGTTCCGGGTGGAAAACCAGCTCTAAGTTCCCGCTGGTTTTACACCCAATTAAAAGTAAAACTTTGTCACTTCCCCCCCAGTCTCCAGTCACATGGTCCAATCAACATGTATGTTCTGTCCCCGTCCCACACACGCACCCCCAGACGGCCCGGAGTTAATAAGCCACAAGACGAAGTCTTTGAAGATAAAGCTGGCAGCAACCCAGTGGCTGGCTGCCAATTCAGACTTTACTCACACAAAACAAAGATTAGACTGCAAGCATTCCGATAAAGCAGGCAAAGTTTTAGCAATACAAGGATTAGTCCAAATGCAGTCCGACAAGGCAGGCAGAAGTCCAGTAACGCAGAGATCATGGATTATTTCTAGTTTTTGCTCATCACAAACTGAACCGGCCACCACACCCACATTTATACCCTGTGGGGTGTGGTCCAGTGACTCAGCTAATCTCTGGCACGCCTTCCCCTTTGCTGTGCACGCTTCTCCCTGTGCCGTTGTCAAGGATCCAGCCAGCACTTATCTCCTTCGTCACTGTCCACCTGTGGCTGCGGGGACGTGCTTGGCTCTGGGCCTATCTCTTGGCCTTCGGTGTCCTCCGGAGGCATTGCCAGAGAGGAGAGTCCTGGAGAGGGAGGCCTTGCCAACTCCTCTCCCTCACTCTCAGAGTCTGCATCTGTCGATAGACCAAGCTCAGGCAATGGAGCCACAACAATGTAGTTCATGTAGTACATGAAGGACTAATTCGGGTCAGGATGCTGTAGGATTGGCTGACAGTCCAGTTGCTAGGTGAACTCAGTCCAGTTTTTGTGAAAGGCAGGAAAATGGGGAAGGGGATTTTCCTGCCTGTCATCCATTCCTCAATCTCAGCACAGACTAACGGAAGGATGGTAGGTAGGAATATTCCCCTCCCCATTTTCCTGCCATTCGCGACAAGGAATGGCTGGGAGGGGAGGGGCCAGTGAGGAGCCCCTCAATGTGTGTGATGTCAAGTTGGCCACGCCCACCCAGTCACATGAGCTCCCCCCAACAAGCTTGTTGGGGGGAGCTGGAACTTATTTTGGCCATGTCATGCAGGCAAATTCCCTGAGTGGTGTGAGGGCCCAGAGGTAGAGTTCTTGCCTCACAAACAGGAGGCTGTGAGTTCGATCCTAGGTAGAGGCAGATATTTCTGTCTCTGGGCACAATGAGAATATATATCTACTGAACACAACTCCACATTGGCAATAGGAAGGGCATCCGGCCAGTTAACACTCAGCTCCATTCAGTTGCCCAGACTCCACCCCGACGCAAGGGATTATGGGGTTGTTAAAAGAAGATAATGATGTAGGGGAATTCCCTGGAGAAAGCAATTATGCTTAGAAGAGTTGGCGATAAAAGCAAACCATGAGAAGAACACGGTGCTTGGACACCATTGAAGCTGACAGCAGAACAACATAGAACAACTCAAAGAAGCAGTGGAAGATGTGGAGACATCTGCCCCATAGAATCGTCAAGAGTCAGACACGACCAAATGGAGAACATCATCATTAATGATGTACAAATTCTTGCTACCTCCAACACCTGCTCTCTTCCAATCTCTCCACCTGGAGTTATTTCTTGCTTCCTATCCACAGGATCACAATAGCCTCTTCTGTAGGCCCTCAAAATGGGGACAATATCTCAAAGGCAAAAGGATTAAACACACTGGGTGGATCATTCCTTTTTGCAAAGGCAAAAATATGCCGCCGTTTATTACGGAGAGTCCTCAACGTACGACCAGAATTGAATCCAAAATTTGTCTTGTTGAGTGAGAAATTTCGTTCAGGGAGTTTTGCCCCATTTTACGACTTTTCTTGCCACATTTGTTCAGTGAATCATTGCATTTGTTAAATTAGTGACATGGTTGTTAAGTGAATCGGGCTCCCCCATTCTGACTTTGCTTGTCAGAAGGTCGCAAAGGGGGAATCACGCCACCCCAGGCCCCTGTGACCGTCATAAATATGAGTCAGTTGCCGAGCGTCCAAATTTAATTCACGAGGCCATAGGGATGCTGCAAACAGTCGTAAGCGCGAGAAATGGTCATAAGTTACTTTTTTTTCAGTGCTCTTTGGGGTTTCCAGCTTGAGCAGGGGTTGGACTAGAAGACCTCCAGGGTCCCTTCCAACTCTGTTGTTCTGTTATTCTTCTTGCTGTGTGAACTCCCTATGTTCCAACAACTGTTTAGGACTATGATGGCGAACCTATGGCACGCGTGCCACAAGTGGCATGTGGAGCCATATCAGTGGGCATGCGAGTTCAGCTCCACCATGCATGAGCGCGCCGGCCAGCTGATTTTCGGGCCTTTTGGGCCCACTGGAAGTCAGGAAAAAGGCTTTTTCCAGCCTCCAGAGGGCCTCCGGGAGAGTGGGAAGGCCATTTTCGCCCTCCCCAGTCTCCTAGAAAGGCTCTGGAGCCTGGGGAGAGCGAAAAACGGGCCTACCTTGCCATCACATGGCAAAAGTGGGGGAAGCGCGGGGGGGTCGCACACGCATGTGTTGGGGGCGGGGCACATAGAATTATATGTGTGGACACGCACGGACGCACGCGACCTCCCCTCCCCCCACTTTTGGCACGCGATGGCAAAAAGGTTAGCCATCGCTGATTTAGGAGAAAACAGCAGGGAGAAATGATCATTTTCTGTGCGGAACTGACCCTTTTAACACCACAACTTGCATGTTTTATTTCACTTCATTTAATATCTGAGCCTGTGAAGCAACCTTAAGAATGTGATCTGATGAATGTCAGCCTGGGACTTCTAAGGATTCCTGCATAACATTTACTAACAACATTTGGAAGCAGTGAAAACTCCTGTCTGGAAGGTTTGATTTATGGCTTCCGGTCAACCCTTCAGTTTTTCTTCACACAGCATCTGGGCCTCCCCTTTTCTTAAAAAAAAAGAAAAGAAAAAGGCCTTTATCGGAGTAGACACTGCACAGCTGTTTATAAGGAGAAGAGCTTCCAACAGTATGACTAATGTCAGAGATTATTCCAACAAAAATAAGTTAAGAAAGATTGCATTGGCTGAACTGAAGACAGCACTGGAAATTTCCTGTTTTAGGAATGAACGCCATCTTCATTATCTATCTGCTGCAACTCAAAATGTAGACCTCGACTTACAACCAGTCACTTAGCAACCATTTAAAGTTACGATGCCCTTACAATCTAATTCTGAACTTTTGGATGCCAGCGACCCCCACCCCTCTTCCCCCCCCCTCAGTGGTCAAGTGAGCACATTTCAGACCCTCAGCAAACCAGCCAAAATGTACAGCTGTTTTGCAACATCCCGCATTGATGCCATCGTGGCGCGGTGGTTAGAATGCAGGGTTACAGGCTAATTCTGCTGACTGGCAGCAGTTCGATCCTGACAGGCTCAAGGTTGACTCAGCCTTCCATCCTTCCGAGGTTGGTAAAATGAGGACCCAGATGGTTGGGGGACAATACGCTGACTCTGTAAACCGCTTAGAGAGGGATGTAAAATCATTGTGAAGTGGTATATAAGTCTTGAGTGCTATTGCAACTGCATTCTATTCTATTGCAATCTATTCTACTCTATTTTCTATTCTATTCTGTATTCTGTTCTATTCTATTCTATTCTGTACTCTGTTCGACTCTATTGTATTCTATTTTCTATTCTATCCTTTTATCATTCTATTCTTTCATTATTTTATTCTTTCACTATTCTATTCTATTCTAGTCTAGTCTAGTCTAGTCTAGTCTGGACTAGCATCTAGTCTGGCCTCTTGCATGGTGGCGCAGGAGTTAGACTGCAGCATTGCAGGCTAATTCTGCTGACTGCCAGCAGTTCAATTCTCACCTGCTCAAGGTTGACTCAGCCTTCCATCCTTCTGAAGTCAGTAAAATGAGGACCCAGATTGTTGAGGACAATAGGTTGACTCTATAAACGGTTTAGAGAGGACTGTAAAGTACTGTGAAGCGGTATATAGGTGTAGGTGCTACTGCTTGCGTTGTTTTTGCCAAAAGCTGTGTTTTTTTTTTTTACTTCTGGTTTTCTGCAAAAACACTCTATAGCCAACGAACAATGGGCAATCTCATTACTGACAATCACAGATGAAAATCTTGTTAGGGCTACTGCCTTGTGCTTCCCACCACCATTTATCCAATAGTTATCACCACCCAACCAATCACGCGCGCTGCTCCCTCCCATGTGACCCGGAAGTTAGCTTATGTTTAATTCTTGAGTATTTACAACCAGCATCTAAACAGTTAAATTTGTTTAGCTTCTCGAGACTCAGTTACAGTAAGCAATACCTTCATACTTTTGTATATTTTATACAAAGTCAGCTTATTGCACAACTGGGTCCTCAATTACACCTAGAATGAGTCACCTTGAGCCTGGCGAGATTCGATCTTACTTTAATTGCAGACAGCTAACTACAGTGCTTAGTCTGTTGAGCTATCCAGGCTCAAGTTAATTCACTTGAGTATTTACAACCAGCATCTAAACAGTTAATTCACTTGAGTTTACAACCAGCATTAAACAGTTAATTCACTTGAGTATTTACAACCAGCATCTAAACAGTTAATTCACTTGATATTTCAACCAGTCTAAACAGTAATCCACTTGTATTTCCTGGCCATGATGATGTTTGACATCAATCCTATCAGTTCCTGGAGGTTCGACGAAGCAGATGCCGGCTGAAATGAGATTTGTGCGTTCCTCCCCCCAAGAATGGCAGCTCCATGCCGACAGCACACTGGAGCTGACAGGGACTTGTTTTGGAATTAATTTGGACTAAGCTGGGAATGAAGTAATTCCCAGCTGTTATAATAAAATAGGTTTGTTTAAGACTAAACTGTGTCTTGTAATGACTAAGTGAGCCTAGCTGACAACAGACGGCCCCACCCGTAGGTCACCACTACCAGTTCACCCGAACCAGTCAAAACCAGCTAAATACCACCACTGGCTCTATGCTGTAAAAGTATGTCAGGAAAAAAAAAACCAGTTAAGTTTGAAAGTGGGACTTGAAGTTAAATATTGCATTGTGGGATACTCCTCTTTAAGGTGTATGCAAACCAGCAATGTTAGCTTGTTTGCACCAAAACACAGTCATTTTGCCTCTAAATTTTGGTGGATCTTCACGGACAGCAAACGGGATTTGGGAATGGCATAAGAAGCCTGTACGCTGCCCACAGAGCAGGGGTGGGTTCTAAATTTTTTTACTACCGGTTCTGTGGGCGTGGCTTATTTTGTGGGCGCGGCTTGGTGGGGGTAATGTGACTGGATGGGTGTGGCCAACTTTTTTTTTTTACTTTTAAAAGCATTTTTTCAGCCAAAGAGGTTGTAGAAAAAATGCTTTTAAAAGTAAAAAAAAAAAAGCCTCTGATGAGGTGGGTGGGGTAAGCAAGTGGCGACCGGGCCAGGGACCAGTTCGGGGGCATGGCCAGCCAATGTTATTACTGGTTCTCCGAACTACTACAAATTTTTACTACCGGTTCTTGCGAACCGGTGTGAACCGGGAGCAACCACCACTGTTTTTGCCCCTAAATTTTGATGGATCTTCACGGACAGCAAACGGGATTTGGGAATGGCATAAGAGGCCTGTACACTGCCCACAGAGGCTTACTCTGGCAAAAAGCTATCTATCTCTGTTGATTTCTTTCCCAGCTCTTCCTCAAAATGCCAAATATTTATCCTGGGGCTGTTTGCTATGATCCTTGCCTTGCGTGGATTCATAATCTTTTAAAATCTTCTCCTTTTATTGAACCCTCAATTTTTACCTTTCTCCATTTCAGCCGAAAGAGGACTGCTGAGTCCCAAGGCATCCTCCGAGGGGAACGACTGACAAAAATCCTGAAGCATCTTTATCCCAAGTCCACATCTTCTAAACTTTTTTCGTACGAACATGGTGTCCAGAACAGGGAGCATATAACATTGGCTGGTGTGTCCATCACACAAATTTCCTGCAGGCAGAGGACAACACAGAAAGGGAACTTATGAGCAATGTCTTACTCAACAAATCTCCTTCTCAGAGCTGAAATACATGGCCTCCTTTGGGGACTTTCTTCAAGAGATATTTTGGGTCATTGCCGGATTAAAAGTTCTGGAGAACTTAAAAAGGATTTCCTCTCCCCGGAGAACAAGAACCAAACAAGAACAGAAGCTTGGCAGAGGGAAATTCCAAATGTGAAATAAGGAGCCATAAATTACAGTAGTGGCCAAAATTGTGGAAATTGGGAAAAGTGTACAGTATTTTTGAGGTTTGATGGCTAATAACACCACTTTTTTGGGGGGGGAATAGTACCATAAAAGTATGTATCAATGGAAAGATAATTTAATCAAGAATGTAATGCAATGAAGTTTATTCAACTATCTGTATTCTATGAAATGTCATAACCAAATAACCAGAAAAAGGAAGCACAACTTGCTTAGGTTGGTATCAGGTAGCTTTCCTTCATCTGATTGTAGCCAATGAGCATGAGTGTTTAGAGAGCCAATCAGGTATCATCTTGTTTAGCAATGAGCCAAATAGCCCAGACCTTAACCCAATTGAAAATCTCTGGAGCCGACTAAAGAAACTTAGGGGGAGTGGATCCAGGAAACTACAGACCAATCAGCCCAGGGGTGGGATTGAAAAATTTTAGCAACCGGTGCTCTGCCTGGTTGCTGGGTGGGCGTGGCCATGGAGGTGTGGCCTAGTCGGCTTCCTGCACCATCGCAGGGGGGAGCATTTTTGCCCTCCCCAGGCTCCAGAGGCTTTCCTCGAGCCTCCGAGAGGGCAAAAACGGCCTCCCCTGGGCTCCGCAGGCCCTCCGGAAGCCGGAAACGGGCCCGTTTCCAGACTTCCGTTACTTCCGGTAGGCCCGTTTTTCGCCCTCCCAGAGCCGCGTGGAGACTCCTGGGAGGGGAGGGGCGAGGTGGGCGGGGTCAGTCAGTCCTTGCAACTACCGGTTCAGCGAACCAGATTAAAATTAACATCCAGTTTGCCAGAACCAGCTGAATCCCACCCCTGAATCACCCTGACATCAATATCTGGGAAGATCCTGGAAAAGATAAGCAAGCGGTGCATTTGTGAGCATCTGGAAACCTACACGACAATGAATAGATGCCAGCATGGGTTTGTCAAAAATAGATCATGCCAGACAAAGCTTATTGCCTTCTTTGGCAAAGTGACTAAATTAGCGGATAAGGTAAACGCTGCAGAAATTTCCTGACAGTGAGGACAATTAACCGGTGGAATGGGTTGCCTTCAGAAATCGTGGGTGCTCCATCACTGGAGGTTTTCAAGATGAGATTGGACAGCCATTTGTCTGCAATGGTATAGGCAGTGGTGGGATTCAGATAATTTAACAACCGGTTCTCTGCCCTAATGACCGGCTGGGTAGGCGTGGCTAGGTGGTCATGTGACTAGGTGGGCGTGGCCAACTCAACATTACTCACATCGAGGGGCACCTCACTTTGCCCAGCCTCTCCTCGCCATGCCCGGCCCCGCCTCGCCCCTCCCCTCCCAGCCACTCCTTGTCATGCCCAGCTACTTGCCCTCCCACCCAGCCAGCTGAGTGGCCAGGTGGCTGGGTGAGCAGGTGGGCGGTGAGGCGAGGAGTGGCTGGGAGGGGATGGGTGAGGTGTGGTGAGGCGTGGCAAGGCACACTATTCAGCCGGTTTGCCGAATTGCATAAAAAGTTAGCTACTGTTTCTACTGAACTCGTGCAAACCAGCTGAATCCCACCACTGGGTATATCGTCTTCTGCTTGAGCAGGGGGTTGATCTAGAAGGCCTCCAAGGTCCTTTCTAATCCTATTATTCTATTTTCCAACATGGGGGTCCCCAACCTGTGGGCCGCAGCCTACTACTGGGGCTGCGGGCTAATCACCACTGGGCCGCGTGAGTGGTTAGCCGGTACGCAGATATACAATAGTAGCCAAAATTGTGGAAACCTTTTGGGAAAAGTGTATTTTTGAGGTTTGATGGCTAATAGCACCACTTTTGGGGAGGGGGGTGAGTTTCAAGATAATCCTATTCCACTGGTGGAATGGCCTGGGAATAGCCCAGACCTTCACCCGATTGAAAATCTATAGAGTCAACTAAAGAAACTTCTTAGTCAGAAGCGACCCAGCAATAAAACCCAGTGAATAGAAGCAATCCTTCAATCTTGGTTTCACATTATAACAGCTGCAGAAGTAAAAGACTTGGTTCACTCCATGGGAAGATGTTTTAAGGCCTTAATTCATGCTAAAGGTTACCCAACTAAGGATTAACTGACATGGTGATCATTTTTGTATATCTCGTTTTTTTTCTACATGTTTCAATTTTCTTCTTTATACTGCTATTCTAATAGCAAATCCTTCATAAAAATTATTGCATTACATTCTTGATTCAATGATCTTTCCGTTGATATGTAACTTTATGGTACTACTCCCCAAAAAAGTGGTGTTATTAGCTAGGTTTAGAAAATACAACTTTTCCTAAATGGTTTCCACAATTTTGGCCACTACTGTACAGCCCCTCGTGAGAGCAATGTTGTGGGTGCTCGTGGCCCCTCTCCCACCAGCATCACCATGGACTTTAGGGGCACTTTGCACATGTGCTTGCTCCTCCCACAAAATCATTCCCCCCCCCCGCTCCGGGCCACCAACCCAGAAAGGTTGGGGATCTCTGTTCTAACTGAACTCCTTGAATTACAACGTCTGCACAACTGGCTAAAAGAGGCCTCTTCTTTTAGTGGCGTCCTGAGGTCCAGTAGAAGCAAGCTCTCATTTCCTTCCCCTGATCTCATCAACAGATTACCGGGCTTACTCACTGCCTCGTTCACTGCCCAACCATGAAAAGTATGTGTTTGCGATTACGTTTACAAGGCAGCCCGGTTCTTCAACTGTGCAGGAATTTTGCAGCATAAGGCACCACTTTGGGTGGGTCTCATTGCTGCCCCGTTACTCATACAGCCGGAACATATGGACAGAGCTAAGAAAAGCATAAGGTCTCCCATGAGTCAAGAAACCCAACGCAAGTTGGACTGTCTGGCAGTCCAACAGAAATGTCACACTCCGGCCATGAGATACTGTGCATGTGGGGAAGTTGGCAGTGTCTGCGCATGAGGTCCACCATGGCCTTAAAAGGGGATTGTGTCGTTTCTGTAGCCCCATTCCACATTGACCCTGTCATGGTCAATATAACCAGCCTTTTAGCATCTCAACCATTCACTTAAGACCGTGATGGCGAACCAAGGCACGCGTGCCAGAGGTGGCACACAGAACCCCCTCTTTGGGCACGCGTGCCGTCGCCGGCTGCTTTTCTGGTTTCCGGCGCGTACATGCATGCCAGCCAACTGGTTTTTGCAGGTGTCGGAGCTCCAGAAAAATGGCCAAAAAACAGCCAAAAAATAGACCCTTTTTGGGGCCGTTTTCTGGGCTGTTTTCTGGGCTATTTTCAGGCCATTTTTCGAGCCAAAAACAGCCAAAAAACAGCCTGAAAAATAGCCCCAAAGATGGCCTGAAAACGGCCCGAAAAAGGGCCTGAAAACAAACCCCATGTGTACACTGGCCAGCTGGTCTTCGGGTTCCCGGTGCTCCGGCCCACGCACATGCACGCATGTTCTGGTTTGGGCACTCGGTGCCAAAAAGGTTCACCGTCACTGACTTAAGACAATAACAGAGTTGGAAGGGACCTTGGAGGTCTTCTGGTCCAACCCCCTGCTCAAGCAGAAAACCCTATAACCCACGATGGCAAACCTATGGCATGCGTGCCACAGGTGGCACATGGAGCCATATCGGTGGGCATGTGAGCTCAGCTCTGGCACACTGATTTTCGGGCCTTCTGGGCCTACCAGTCGGCAAACAGGCCATTTCCAGCCTCCAGAGGGCCTCGGAGGGAGGGGGGGTAAGGAAGGCCGTTTTCGCCCTCCCCAGGCTCCTAGAAAGGCTCTGGAGCCTGGAGAACTTGAAAAATGAGTCTACCGGGCCCACTGTACCATCACATGCCAAAAGCGGGGTGAGCATGGGGAGGTCGCGCGCACATGCGTGGGGGGGCAGGGCGCATAGAAATATGGGTGTTGGCACATGTGCACGTGAAAAAAAAAACCCGCGCTCCCCCCGCTTTTGGCACGTGATGGCAAAAAGGTTAGCCATCACTACCCTATACCATTGCAGACAAGTGGCTGGCCAATTTCTTTTTGAAATCCTCCAGGGATGGCCTTGCCCCAACAAAGCAAGAACCACCACCAAATTCCCAGGCGGTTGGTAAGTGAAAAGGACACTACAGACGCTGAAATATGGGGTCCTGGAAGAGTGACAATTTATCACAAACAACCGATACACACGAAGGTCTAACAAAACTAAATGGACTCGCACAGAAGAGATTTTCTTTGGGATATCTTAGGCTGCCACATCAACCAAATGAAAATAGAAATGCAACGAAAAATAGGCAGGGAATGCATCTGGCAAAAAGAAGAAGAAAAAAAAACTCATGGAAAGTAAAATGTGGGACTATTACAATTATCCCAGCACCAGGGTGAGCATTCCAAAGGACAGAAGAGTGAGGGGAGTGGGGGAAGGGAAGGCAGCTCTTCTCATGCGTGCACTAAGAACAGGCTCCTCCTGTTCCTCTGCCTCTCTACTGTCAGCCTCTGGAGGCTCTGGAGTCAGCACGTCACTCCCCGATGGCCCTGGCCCCATCTCTGCCTCCGACACAGAGCCCTCATCTGGGCCTTCCCCAGCCTCTAGGACTGGCCCATGTTCTTCCTCAGCCTCATCATTGTCCGACTCCGCTGCCAGCTCCGCAGACTACTGGCGATCCACAACATGCGGAACATTTGCGAACCGGTAGGGAAGGTAAGTGAATATACCACCCCTGCTCCAAAGTCCCTTCCAACCTTACAATTCTACGTTTTAAGAGAAGTTAAAGAAAGATGCCCTCATGTAGCCTGCTCCCCGGGAGACCTTTAATCTGTTTGGTTAGGCTAAATGACTAACCTACAAGCCAGCAGAGTGGGAAACAGCAATTGCAAAGGCAGAGAAAGGCAGACGGCCATGAATGCTCTTGAAACATCCAGCAGCCCAGCGAAAGTTCTACCACAACCTGCCCCACATCTAAAGGACGCAAACCAAACCAAATTGTACATTCCAGCTCGGCCCCTAATTAACAAGCTGGCTGGGAGATGTTGGCCTGGAGAGACCTTTTGCAAGGAGTGAGTATCTTGGTCAAGAGAGCAGGACGCTGCTGACAGGAGCCCAAAGTCAACCGATTATGGGGTTCTGTGTATGCCTGCTGACACTTTGGAAGAATGCAGCATCCCTGGTGGCTTCAAATTAACTAAAGAAAGGCATGGCTTGGTCAGCTGTAGGCATTCCTTTTTTTTTTTTTTTTAATTTGATTTATATGCCGCCCTTCTCCGGAGACTCAGAGCAGCTTACAATGCGTTAAGCAATAGCCTTCATACTTTTGTATATTTATACAAAGTCAGCTTATTGCCCCCACAAACTGGGTCCTCACTTCACCTACCTTAAAAAGGATGGAAGGCTGAGTCGACCTTGAGCCTGGTAAGATTCGAACCTGCAGAAATTGCAGGCAGCTGTGTTAATAACAGGGTGCATTAAACCACTGTACTACCAAGGCTCTTTTATTATATTATGCTGTATACCGAATTTTGCACAATGGTATTTTTAAAAAAAACATTACATATTGGACAAAAGAAAATGACAGAAAGATAAGGTTGGGTCTGCCATGGGATTGGAACCCAGAAATTATTCCTGCTACAGGAAGCTTGTGGGAAATTCGAAGCAGGAAAGAATAACAGAGTGGGAAGGGACCTTGGAGGTCTTCTAGTCCAGCCCTCTGCTCAAGCAGGAGAATCTATACCATTTCAGACCGCTGGCCTATCCAATCTCTCCTTGTATACCTTCAGTGATGGAGCACCCACAACTTCTGGAGGCAAGCCGTTCCACAGGTTAATTGGTCTAACTGTCAGGAAGTTTCTCCTTAGTTCTAGGTTGCTTCTCTCCTCGATTAGTTTCCATCCGTTGCTTCTTGTCTTGCCTTTGAAGCATGACCCCCTCTTCTTTGTGGCAGCCCTTTAGATATTGCAGTACCGCTATGGTCGATAGTTTAGAGCAGGGGTCTCCAACCTTGGCAACTTTAAGAGTTGTGGACTTCAACTCCCAGAATTCCTCAGCCAGCTTTGTTTCTGGGAATTCTGGGAGTTGAAGTCCACAAGTCTTAAAGTTGCCAAGGTTGGAGACCCCTGGTTTAGAGGAAAGAAAAATAATCTTTAAACAGCTGCAGCAGAGTTCCCCAAGCTTTTTTGGCTTTGCGGATTGGCTGCAGGGGGGGGAGGGGCGGAGAGGGGATGTTTTCATGTGAGCGGCGAGCAAGCACGAATGCACGTGCAAATGAACACACGCACACACACTGTTCATGTGAATGGGGGAGGGGTGAAATGCTCCCAGTTCGGACCAGATCAAGTGATCCGGGAGCAATTGTAGCAGATGGTTCGGAGAACCGGTAGTGATGGCGGTGCGAGGCTCCGCCCATCTGCCCGGGTGTCGTTATTTCCTGCTTTTAAAAGGTGGGGGAAAAAAGGCTCCGACGATCACGCACCACAGCTGTGATCGTCAGAGCCTTTTTTTTCACCTTTTAAAATTATTTTTAACAACCTATTTGGCCGAATAGGTTGTAAAAAAATGCTTTTAAAAGATAAAAAAAGGCTCTGGCTGTCGTGAGGCACAGCTGTGATCGTCAGAGCCTTTTTTTTTTTAACTTTTAAAAGCATTTTTTACAACCTATTCAGCCAAATAAGTTGTAAAAAAATGCTTTAAAAAGTTTTTTTTTAAAAGTTGGCCACACTCACCCAGTCACATTACACCCACCCACCAAGCCACGCCTACAGAACCGGTAGTAACAAATTTTACATTTCACCACTGGAATGGGGATATGCCCCCTTTGCGGCCCAGTTCCTAAAGGCTCAAGGCTCAGTAGTGGAGCTGGAGATCCCTGAGCTGCTGTATTAGTTAAGCATAGGGGAATTATTTGGTTTTTGTTTGTTTGTTTCATATCCCACCTTTAGTATTTTTATAAACAACACAAGGCAGCAAACGTATCTAATACTCCTTCCTCCTCCTATTTTCCTGACAACAACCACCCTGCCCTGTGAGATGGATTGGACTGAGGGAAAATGACTGGCCCAAGCTCACCCAGATGGTTTTCATCTTCTTAAATTTTTAAATAGTTTTTAAATTTTTATTTATTTAACTCCGCCAAGATAGGATCATACAAAGGAGTTCGACTAGATGACCTACAAGGTCCCTTCCAACTCTCTTCATCTGTTAGTCTGGTTCTTTTTGACCCCTATAAACACACTTAAGAGAGAGACGTGATGGCTCAGTGGCTAAGACGTTGAGCTTGTCGATCAAAAGGTCGGCAGTTCAGCGGTTCTAATCCCTAGTGGCACGTAACGGAGTGAGCTCCCGTTACTTGTCCCAACTTCTGCCAACCTAGCAGTTCAAAAGCACGTAAAAAATGCAAGTAGAAAAATAGGGACCACCTTTGGTGGGAAGGTAACAGTGTTCCATGCGCCTTTGGCATTGAGTCATGCCGGCCACATGACCACAGAGACGTCTTCGGACAGCGCTGGCTCTCCAGCTTTGAAACGGAGACGAGCACTGCTCCCTAGAGTCGGGAACGACTAGCACGTATGTGCGAGGGGAACCTTTACCTTTTAAACACGCTTAAGAGTTGGGAAGAGGCCTTCAGCAAAGACATACCTTTTCTTTTGACAGTATAAAAAGCCGCTGCTTCTCCACTCTTCCAGAATATTCTGGCATCTTCCTTCTTAGGATGAGGAACAAAGACTGTATCGTCAGTCAGGCTCCTCTCCAACGTGCCAAAAATGATGCAGTTAAGGACGAAGAGAACGATTCTCTCTTGACAGGTTTGAACCTTGAAAGACAAGTAAGATGAGGAGATATAAGACAGCGCAAAGAATGCACCATTTGAAGTTACAACAGTATTGAAAAGACGGACATATGACCATTTTTCACTCTTACGACTGTTGCAGCGTCCTCACCGTCATGTGATCAAAATTCAGACACTGGCTCGTATTTATGATGGCCGCAGTGCCCAGGGGTCATGTGATCCCTTTTTGCGACCTTCTGACAAACCAAGTCAACGGGGAAGCCAGATTCACTTAAGAACCGTGTTACTAACTTTAACATCTGCAGGGACTCACATAACAACCGTTGCAAGAGAGGTCATAAAATGGGGCAAAATTCCCTGTCTCGCTTAGCAACAGAAAATTTGAGCTCAATTGCTATCGTAAGTTGAAGACACCCAGTAATTCAGCATTATTTTTTTAAGAAGAATAACTGGTCTGGCTCAAAAAATATCTGAAGTGAGATTAAGGTAAAGGTTCCCCTTGCACATATGTGCTAATCGTTCCCGACTCTAGGGGGCGGTGCTCATCTCCGTTTCAAAGCCGAAGAGCCAGCGCTACCCAAAGACGTCTCCGTGGTCATGTGGCCAGCATGACTCAATGCCAAAGGCACACGGAACGCTGTTCCCTTCCCACCAAAGGTGGTCCCTATTTTTCTATTTGCATTTTTTACGTCCTTTCAAACTGCTAGGTTAGCAGAAGCTGGGACAAGTAACGGGAGCTCACCCCGTTATGCGGCACCAGGGATTCAAACCGCTGAACTGCCGATGTTTCGATTGACAAGCTCAGCATCTTAGCCACTACATCCCTTTTAGTGAGGTTTAAGTGAGGTTAAACCAGGGGTGAAATCCAGCAGGTTCTGACAGGTTCTGTAGAACCGGTAGCGGAAATTTTGAGCAGTTCAGAGAACTGGCAAATACCACCTCTGGCTAGCCCCAGAGTGGGGTGGGAGTGGAGATTTTGCAATATCCTTCCCCCAGGAGTGGGGAGGGAATGGGGATTTTGCAGTATCCTTCCCCTGGAGTGGGGAGGGAATGGGGATTTTGCAATATCCTTCTCCCAGGAGTGGGGAGGGAATGGAGATTTTGCAGTATCCTTCCCCTGCCACGCCTACCAAACCATGCCAACCAAGCAACGCCTACAGAACCGGTAGTAAAAAAAATTGGATTTCACCACTGGGTTAAACAGTCTTAAAGTTGCCAAGTTTGGAGATCCCTGGCTTAAATGATGTTTTCACCTGTTTCAGGCCTTCCCGCAAAGGGTCAGACGTCTTGATTACATCCTCAGGAAGCCGCCAGGAGTTGTTCAAATAAATTGCTAATACTGTTAAAAAGAAAGGGAATAAAGGAAAGAATGAATGAAGCAAAGAACTTCTGTTTAAATAAGACTCTCCCCAGAGTGCCTTCAGTTCTCATAAATTTTTGGAAGCTTGTCTGTATTTCTTGCTCTGCATTATTTTCACATTTCTGTCGGCAATAAAACATTGTTCTTCCACAAGTTTTCAGCAGCGGTGGAATTTAAGACGTCTTAGGAGAATGTGAGAGAAAAGTATTAACACATGTAATCCTACTGCAGTCTGCACTAAAGAATCTAAAACTTTGGCTTTTCCACAACTACTGTAGGTAGTTCAGGAAAGATTCTGAACATCAGGAAAGATTCTTGAAAACTTCCTCTTTTTTTCTTTTTCTTAGTAAGTTTTATTACATATATATTAAAACATTGGACACGGTGTAACCGTCCTGGCATTCTCTTTGCCATACATGCTAAAATGAAAGATAAGTATCATATATACCCGTGATGGCAAACCTATGGCATGTGTGCCACAGGTGGCACGTGGAGCCATATCTGTGGGCACGCGAATATTGCCCTAGCTCAGTTGCAGTGTGCATGCGCGCGCCAGCCAACTTATTTTTGGGCCTTCCGGGCCCACTGGAAGTCGGGAAATGGGCCATTTCCAGCCTCCAGAGGGCCTCGGGGGGAGAGGGAGGCCGTTTTTGCCCTCCCCAGGCTCCTAGAAAGGCTCTGGAGCCTGGGGAGGGTGAAAAACAGGCCTACCGGTCCCACCAGAAGTCTGGAAATGGGCCGTTTCTGGCCTCTGGGTGGGGGGGGAGGGTGTTTTCACCCTCCCCAGGCTCCAAGAAATCCTCTGGAGCCTGGGGAGGACAAAAAATGGGCCTACTGGGCCCACCGTGCCATAAGCAGGGGTCATGCAGGGGGGGTCGCGCGTGCATGCATGGGGGGCAGAGCGCATTGAATTATGGGTGTGGGCACGCGTGCATGTGACCCCTCGCGCTCCCCTCGCTTTTGGCACATGTCGGCAAAAAGGTTAGCCATCACTGATATATACCTTATTACTTATATACAATTAGTCTGTTCAGTATTTACATAGATAAAGTCATCCTTCTTCTATCCATATTACTTATACATTTATCCACTGTCATTCTATTGTAGTCACATACATAACCTTAATTCTCCATTTTATGAATTCTAGTCAGTTCTTGTTTTTCGACCCTCTTTTCTCTTCCAACCATTGATAAAATTTACTCCATCTCTCGTGGTATTCTGACTCGCCTTTATTTTTCAGTTCCAAGGTTAATCTATCCATTTCCGCACATGTCAAAATTATCACTTCCTCTTCTAGAGGAGTTTCCTTATTTTTCCATTATTTTTTTTTTCATTTTCATTCTATATACAGGTAGTCCTCAAGTTACAACCATACGGGAACCTACCTGTATTATAGTCCTAAATCAGGAAGGCTATAAAATAGGTCGGCGATGTGACCGATTTCTATGACGTTTTTGCAGCAGTCGTTAAACACACACGGAGGTCGTAACTGCACATGCTGCTGTCCTTAAACGAACGCTGTGGTCATTAGGTAAACCCATTGTTTGCTATGGCACAGTTTTTGTTCCAAATAGAAATAGATGTCAGTTTTTGGCAAAACCATCATAAAATAAAAGTTATGTGGCTGCAGGACACTGCAAAGTGTCCCTGAAGTCATGTCGCCAAGCATCAAAAGTGCAGCCACATGACCACATGAGGTGCCGGACCCTCAGAACTTCACAAGTGGGTCCAAAGTCCCCTTTTTACTGTGTAGATCATAAATTTGAACAGACACTAAATGACTGGTCGTACGTCAGACTATCTGTACAACAGAGTGATAAAGAGGCATCTCCATATCTCTCTGTGTCTCCCATCTCTGTCTCCGTCTCCCTCTCTCTCTCTGTTTAAACCAGGGGTGAAAATTTAATGCTCCCAGTTCGGACCGGATCACCCGATCCGGTAGCGATGGCGGCGGGTGGTTCGGAGAACTGGTAGCAAAAATCCCTGCCCCCGCCCCATTGCCCAGTTGAGCCGCACGATCATCAGAGGCTTTTTTTTTTTTACTTTTAAAAGCATTTTTTCTACAACCTCTTCCGATGAAAAAATGCTTTTAAAAGTAAAAAAAAAAAAGCCTCTGATGATCGCGCGGCTCAGCTGGGATCATCAGAGACTTTTCAAAGCGTTTTTTTTACCACCTCTTTGGCCAAGAGGTTGCAGAAAAAAATGCTTTGAAAAGTCTCTGACGATCCCAGCTGAGTTGCCTGATGGCAGAGGCTTTTCAAAGCATTAGAAAAAATGGTATTAAACGTTAAAAAAAAAAAATTGGCCACACCCACCCAGTCACATTACCCCCGCCACCACCAAGCCACACCCACAGAACCAGTAGTAACAAATTTTACATTTCACCCCTGGTTTAAACCCACTTCTAATCCTTAGGACGGTGGTTGAATGATGTTTGCATTATTTAACCATATCTCCCCCTACTAAGTTTGGTTCCTCAGAAAAACAGCTGGAAGAAAAACTAGAACATCCAATACTTTTAAGTTTGTGAGAATGGTGGAAGTGTGCGGCAGCAGCCAAAACGGCTAATACAATCCTGTATAAATAAGAGGCATAGAATCAAGATCACGTGAAGTATAAGTGCCGCTTTATAAAACCCTAGTAAGACCATACTTGGAATACTGCAAATGATTTTGGTCCCCATACTACAAAAAAGATGTGGAGACCTTGGAAAAAGTTCAGAGAAGAGCAACTAAGATGATCAAAGGCCTGGAGACCAGGGGTGAAATGCTCCCGGTTCGGACCGGATCGCCCGATCCGGTAGCGATGCAGGCGGGTAGTTCGGAGAACCGGTAGCAAAAATCCCTGCCCCTCCCCTCCATTGCCCAGCTGAGCCGTGCAATCATCAGAGGCTTTTTTTAATTTTTAAAAGCATTTTTTCTACAACCTCTTCATCCGAAAAAATGCTTTTAAAAATTAAAAAAAAAAAAAAAGCCTCTGATGATCGCGCAGCTCAGCTGGGATCATCAGAGGCTTTTAAAAGCATTTTTTCTACAACCTCTTCAGCCAAAGAGGTTATAGAAAAAATGGTTTTAAAAGTTAAAAAAAAAAATTGGCCACGCCCACTCAGTCATATTACCCCCCTCCCCCACCAAGCCACTCCCACAGAACCGGTAGTAACAAATTTTACATTTCACCACTGCTGGAGACTAAAACATATGAAGAACGGCTGCAGAATTTGGGTTTGACTAATCTAAAGAAAAGAATTAGGGCTGACATGATAGCAGTATTCTAATATTTGAGGGGCTGCCACAAAGAAGAGGGGGTCAAATTATTCTCCAAAGCACCCGAGGGCAGGACAAGAAACAATCGCTGGAAACTAATCAAGGAGAGAAGCAACCTGGAATTAAGGAGAAACTTCCTAACAGCGAGGACAATTAACCAGTGGAACAGCTTGCCACCAGAAATCTTGGCCGCTCCATCACTGGAGGTTTTTAAGAAGAGACTGGACAGTCACTTATCTGAAATAGTATAGGAACGTGATGGCGAACCTATGGCACGGGTGCCACAGGTGGCATGCGGAGCCATATTGGTGGGCACGCGAGTGTTGCCCTAGCTCAGCTCCAGAGCGCATGCGCGCACTGGCCAACTGATTTTCAGGCCTTCCGGTCCCACCAGAAGTCGGGAAACTGGCTGTTTTTGGCCTCCGGAAGGCTTCCGGGGGGACGGGGAAGGCTGTTTTTGCCCTCCCCAGGCTCCTAGAAAGCCTCTAGAGCCTGGGGAGGGGAAAAAACAGGCCTACCGTGCCATCGTGTGCCAAAAGCAGGGGAAAGTGTGGGGAGGTCACGTGCGCATACGCAGGAGGGCGGGGCGCATTGAATTATGGATGTGGGCACCCGTACCCGCGACCCCCCCACGCTCCCCACGCTTTTGGCATGCGACGGCAAAAAGGTTAGCCATCACTGGTATAGGATCTCCTCCTGCTTGAGCAGGGAAAACATCTTCAAAGAAAAACCAGGTAGTCCAGATATTGTCTTGACAATATCTCTTGAGAATGGATCATATACTTAATATGAAGGGATAAGGCCTGGACCCAACCAAAAATAAAAAAAGAACTGCCTCTGAATAAAAACATATTTTGACCGAATTAAACGAAAATCGACTGAAGAGTCATTATTAATGTCTTTGTTTTTTTTATATTCAGTAACTTCTTTTTTGGCTCCTACTAAAAAAAAAGTGTGTTTTAAAAAAACAAAAAAACAAATCACAATTGACCAGCCAAGTTTTTGAAATGCTCTGGAAGACACAGCACAGTTTTGGAAAGGGGCATACCGTTTGTGTTCCCAGGCCTCGGATTGTTTTTCGGATTTAGCGTAATAAATTACTAGACGTTGATACTAATTCAAAAGAGAACAGGGAAATGCAAACACAATACATCAAAGGAGGAGCAAAGCTGCCAAGGAACACCAACAAAAGGGATCGGCTGTTACAGGACATTTATTTATTATGGGGCAGAATTATACAATAGTACACACGTGGGGAAAAGAGTACGCTTCATCTAATAAAAGTCCATTAACAACTATTTTGCCTTTTTTTTAAAAAAAAAAAAAAGACTTTTATGTTTCCAGAGATAATTCTAATCTGCCTAGATCAGCTTCTCTTCAATAGCTCCCAAATGGGAAAGCGAGATTCAATTTATAACCGTGTTATTAACTTAACAGCTGCAGTGGTACACTTAACAACTGTGGCAAGAAAGGTCGTAAAAACGGGACAGAATTCACTTAACAACTGTCTCACTTAGCAACCGAAATTTTGGAGCTCAATTGTGGTGGTAAATTGAGGGCTACATGTAACTTTCTTGGAGGTTTTCAAGAACAGATTGGAGGGTAAATGCCAGCATTTACCCCCAACGAGAATAGCCAGAATGTTCAAGAATAAATCTGAAAAATGTTGGAAATGTCATCAGATACCAGGCTCATATTACCATATGTGGTGGACAT